TTTTTCTCCAGGGAAACAAATGATTGCTACTGGTGACTTCTGGAGAACTTCCTACTGGATGCTGGCCATCCCTCACTGTGAGTGACAGGGACTTGTAGTGTCTTCTCCTGGGAATTCGTCACAATAGAGCAAGGGGGAATGGTTTTAAACTACAAGAGGATCAATTTAGACTATATATATACAAGGAAAAAGTATTTTCAATGAGAGTGGTAAAAGGCTGCCCAAAGAGGTGGTGGATGCCCATCCCTGGAAACATTCGATGTCAGGCTGGATAGGGTCTGAGCAACCTGGTCTAGTTGATGGCCTTGCTGATTGCAGAGGGGTTTAAATGGCCTTTAAAGCTCCTTTCCAACCCAAACTATTCTGTGAGTCTAAGAATTTGGCACTCTGAGATCAGCCAGGTCACTTTTCCATGCGCAAATCCCGGGCAGGAGAGCAACTTTTACCTTACACAAAGAACAGAGGGACTGCTGGCCTGGCCCAGGAGCTCCTGGCAGAGCTGGGGTCAAGTGGAAAGAAGATTGTCCACCCTTCACATCTGCAGAACAGCATATTTCCTCAGGGAAACCTCAAGGCTGCTTTTTTTTGGCTGGCAGCCTGGTGCTCAGAACCTGTCAAAAGGTTTGCTTTAGTTTTCAAGTCATTGTTTAGTTCCCACAGCTGTCTCCTCTCTTTGTGTGCCTTTGTCCCTGGCACGCTCAAGGATGTCCATCACTCTTAGTCTTGCATTGTGCTGACATGTGGGACAGGAAGGTGAAATGTCTGTGAGAGATAACAACTCCCATGCAAAGAGAAGGTCTTCAAACCCCCACTGGGTTTGAAGGAAAGATGGAGTTTGCAAAAAACAAACAAAAAACACTTCTGCTGGCACTGTGAGGACTTCTTTTTGCCCTCAATGTTTTCTCATTCCCTGCCAAGCTGAGGTCGGGGCAGCTGCTCCTGCTGCCGCTGAAGTGGTGAATTCGTGCTTGTGTTTTCCCCTTTATGCTCCCCTTGCCCTTCCCCAGCCCAAGAATTTTGCCTGTGCACAACACATTTCCAGGTTATTTGCCTTTTACCTTGAGGGACTGCCTTCTGCTTTGGAAATAGTGATGAGCTTTCACAGGAGCTGCTTTCACTGTGTGGTCACTGGGACCCAGGGAGATGAAAACCCCTTCCCTGCTGCTGCTCTGCTGACTGAAATGCTGTTTGCTTTGAGAGCATAATGGCAGCTGTTCTCAAAGTCTGCCACGTAACAAGATGTCAAGGAAGGAAGTGCAGGATAATTTTAGGAGTAAGAGGATGCAAGGTGGGATTTTGTATGGATTTTTTTTTTATCTTAAGGTGGGTTGACTTTCTTGTTCAGTGCTGATTCTGCCACAAATTTCCATGTTGATGAGTAGTATTTATCAGCCAGGAAGGCTTAAAAGTCTTTCAGCTTCAAGTTGAAAGCACTTAAATGTGGTTTTCTGAGACCATGTCCAGTGGGCATCCTGGGAGATGGGAGTAACTTGAGCTCAGTGCTTTGAGTGCCTGCAAAAGGGAAGTGTGGCCACCTGCACTGACAGAACTGGGCAGTAAAGAATAGGATTGCAGCCCCAGCCTTACTAATATGGGTTTCCTTAAGGAAACAGAGGAGGTGGATGTTCTTACTAATTCCAGTCTAGTAAATCACTTCTGGAAAACAATGTAGCTGAGTGTAGTGGCTGACAAAAGAAAGTTGGGTGTTTCCCACTCCTTATTTAAAACAGAGTTTAAGCAGGTTGGTTTTTGGCTGCTGAAGCATGAATCAGACAGATGGCCTGTTCTGGTAAAGGTTTGTTAATATATTTTGGTAAGGAAACACACTGTGAGAGAATGATTTATATTTCATTTTACCCACTCTTAAAGTGTTCCTGATTTCAATTTCTTTTGTCCTAATTATGTCAGCCTGTTCAGGCTTCCCTAATTTATTGTTCCCCTCAGTCCTGGACAAGTTCCTTCCTGGTCACTCTTGTTCTTTGTAAAGGACTTTACCTGAAGAGTGTTATTTTTTGGTTATTTGGACGCACTCTCCATCTGACTTCTCCGTTTCTCTTTCTGGTACTTGGGAATTCACAGTGGTCACTCCATCATGGGAAGGTGTTTTCATCTCTCTGGGTCCCAGTGACCACACAGTGAAAGCAGCTGCTGTGAAAGCTCATCCTTATTTCCAAACCAGAAGGCAAATAACCTGGACATCAGTAGACAGACCCAGGAGAAATGAGGGTCAGTGTCTGTCTGCAGGAGCTCCACAGAGCCCAGATCCTGGGCACACATTTGGAGCTCACGTGGAACCCACTGATGTGTGTTTGCCTCCCTTGCTGGGCTGCATGATTGGGGTGAATTTGTCCTGTTTGATCTGGAGTGACTGTAGGATCTCAGATGAACTATTCGGTTTATTTCATTTTTTTTTGTACTGAGCTGTGTAGTGTTTACTGGGATCAATAGTTCAATTTTAGGATTTCTAGGGAGTTTGTTCCAGTGTTATCACTGATAGGGTAGGAGTGCTGTTGACCTGGGTCCTCCCTCTCTCCCAATGTCATCATCACTCTAACCTCAGTGAAGTCTTTCCTAATTTTCAGCAGACAGTCCTACCTTCTGAACTGATTTGGGCTCTGGAGAGGAAGAATCTTATTGTAACTACTAATTATGAACTGAGGTCTTTTTCCCATTTTCTTCACTGGAAAGAGCAATTGTTACTGTGCCCACACTGCCCAGCCACACTTTAGTTTGGCTGCCTGGCAGGACTCCAGTTCTTGAGACACTGAAAAATTGGAATTAGGAAAAATTTGGTTTCTTGAGCAGGTTGGCTGCCTCCTGGGTAAAAGCTGAGTTTTCCTTGGAAGAGTAAAAATCCCAGTATCAAGGAGGTGTTTGGTGCTCTCCCAAGGATGAGAAACATTGAGGAGGGGTCCCTCTGGTGTGGTCCTGTCCCCTATAAATCAGTGAAGGAGCACAGGTGGGAAGCCCCATTCCCGACCTACAGCACCAGGCTGTAGGAGTTCCTCAGCCTGGCCTTTTCCAACCACTCAAACTGAGGTTTTTACCATCACATTCCAGTTCTGTATCCTACTAAATGCTTTTTGGGATGGCTCAGGGTCACGTGAGATTTGGACTTTGAGTCTTCAGACTCTATTTGTGCTCTGCAGACCAGATTTGGGTATGTAACATTATTCTCGTGTCAAATTTGGGAAAGATAAAGCTCTCTGCTGTGGGATAAATATTGCGTAAGGAGCTTAATATGCTTTTATTTTTTGGCATGAAAGCAGCACTCCCATCTGTGGGAAAAGTCTCTTCATTCCCACAGAAGTAGGAGCTGTGTCTCAGAGATTTTCCCTCTCCCTTCTGACACAGCTTTACATGTTAATCTGGCCAACATAAATAATAATATAACATAAATAATAGTATAAATATGTAAATAATAGCATAAATAACCTAGGGGTAAAATTAACCCTAGAAAGCAGCATGGGCACCCTGAAAATTTGTTATGCTAAAAACAGGGAAGACAGAGTCATTGGGAAAGATGGGATGTGGAAATCCCAAATGGTGTTTTAAGCAGCGAACTGAACCACCTGGAAGAGATTTCTGGTTTCCAGAGCAATCCTCAGGAGATTTCCCCCTTGTGTTTAAAGAGAGGTTTTGCTGCAAGGTCTTCCTTCCTCAAGCTTTTCTTTGTTAGTTGGAAGGCTGGTATTTTAATACAAGAGAGAAGATATTCCCAGAAACTACACAATTGTTTCTTCTGTCCTGGAAACCGCTCAATTGTTTCTTCTGTTTGTTGTGACCTTTTTAAAGTCTGAACATTTCAGAGGTTAAGTAGAAAACAATAAGCATGAACTTATTTTCTATCAGCCTAATTTGTGTTATGTGGATAATATAAATTATTCAACACTGTCTGCAAATCCTCTGCTCAGTGGTTTAACTCCACTCTTGGGATAGTGCAAGAAGACTAAGTTTAGTATTTCATATAATTAGTGTTTTGTGTGTGTAACTGGTTGTATTGGTCCAAATTTGTCAGCCTTTCCTTCTGAAATTTTTGAGACAGAATTTCAGAATTACAAGTATTTATATCCTTTTGAGAAAATAATCAGCTTGGAGCTGTTTCTTAGAGAAAATTCCCCTGAATGGGCATTTAGGAGAAGTAGGTCTGTTGGTACAACCCTGTCCCAAAACACTGGCTGTCTTAGTTCAGATATGGGATGATTTAGATGTTTACAGAGCATTCTTATCTGCTGCCATACACATATGTGGTGCATTCTATTTTTGAAATGAAGAGGTTTTTATCTGTACATCACAGCGTAAATAATGTGGAAGCAAAAAAAAAAGAAAATACTACCTGACCATCTTTACTCCCAGAATTTTTGCTTCCAAAAACAGGGTAACTATAAACATTTATACAAAAATAGCTTTGTTTTCCTTTCCCACTGAAATGGTGGGAAGTTCTGTCAGTGGAATTAGTAAATATTTTGTAAGAGAAGTATATCAAGGTTTTAACTTTCAGTTAAAGTGTTCCACAAGGTTTTATTTTACCTTGATAAATTGCTATGAAATTTTTTATGTTAAGGAATAGATAGCTTGTGAACAACCCTAAATAATGTAAAATTCTACATCTTCTTACTCTAATTTGCTGCTTTAGTAGCTCTAATACACAGCAGAGGAAAAAAGAGGACGTACGTGATTAGGACGTACAACAAACTGAATAAACTGTGCTGAGATTCCAGATAGGGGTTGAATATTTTTATGCATCTCCTTTCTTACTCTGCATCCTTGTCTTCAGAGCACTGAAAGGCAGATGATGGTGGAGTTCTCTCTGGAAAGTCCATGCGCACAGAAGCCTGATCCAGGATTTCTGCAGATTTTTGCTGCCTGTATGAACTCAGCTATTTCCAGGTTGTTTTCCTAATGCTTTACTTCTGTGCTAAAAAACTCCACACAAATTCTCATGTTTAGAAGATAATTCTTGTTTATATGACTTTAGTTGTAGATATGTCTTCAGTTCTAGATAATACGATCACGTAGAAATATGTGGGAATACAGAGAGTTGTTTTTTATTCCTGAAAAAACTTTTCTTGTAGAGTATTCCAGGTTTCTTCTTGGGGCACATGTAGTCTTATTTTATTCTCTGTTTTAAGATGAATATACATACAACTAGTACTTTCTGTGCCATTTGCTAATTTCTGTGGTGTGACTCCAGCTTTGAGGTTACCCTGAGCAGGCCTTTTCCCTTGACAAGATAAGCAGAATGAATTTGAATTTTAAAAAGTAGGTTTTGGTTAGCATTTAAATGAGGAGCCTTCACACTGTAGAAAGAGAAAATTGGGGTGACAGACAGAAATAAAGGGCCTGTATGTATCTTGTTGCCACCTCGTGGTGTCCTCTGTAGGCAGGTCCTTGTTTTAATGAGTGCATTGAGTCCAGGTTGTCCAGGATGCCTTGTCTTCCGGAGGGAAAATGCCTGATTTTGCTACATACCAGAGATCTTCATCTTTTACTTGCAGGCAACAGAGAAACCCTCAGTCCACTGATTCTTCTGGAAGGAAAAGATATGAACGCAGAAAATACAGTACTGAAAGAGAGAGACGTGACATCACCCAGGTGTGTAAACCTAGTGAGCTTAGGCTGGAAAAAAAAATCTTTGGGTATTAATGTGGAGATCTGGCTCTTTTTTCCTCTCGACTTATTTGTGCTGTATGTGATGGAGCAATGTAGTGCGGAAAACTACTAAGGATGACACTTTTCTGACCTAACTTGGAAGAAAAATTGGTTTTGTCCCACAGGGGTAAGACTTAAAATTTTTCGCTGAATCCCCTATTTTTCTTTGTGCTCCATAATCTCCTGAGGGTGAGCTTCCAGCAACCCCTTGGCTTTTCCATATCCTGAGAAAACTTAGGCTACTTTCTTCACAGCACTTCTTCTTCCCTTCACAAACAGTGGTGCAGGAAGAGGTGCAACCCACAAGTTTGCCTGTGAGCAATGCTGTTCATACAGTGACCCACTCCACAGAGGGAGGGGGAAGGCTGAACTCTCTGTCTGGCAGGAAAACTCCCATCCTTTGTTTTTTCTAAAGGTTTCTGGTGACTACCACTAATTTCCTCCAAGCAGAGTGCTGAGGAAGGGAGGGCGAGAGATGGATGTGTGGGGGTGGGTTGATTGGGGAGTTACTTTTGGATCCAGTGTCTGAAAATGGCCATGGAGGATCAGAATGGGACCTTTAGCTCTCAAGAAGTGATTAGGAGGGGAAGAGAAGTCAGAGCAGGTTATTGGTTTGGGTAGGATGGGAACATCCATGGTGACCTTCATGGTCACAGACAGGTTTTCTCCATCTTCCCCATCTTGCATCTTCTCTGTTCTTGAGCTTTAACTTTTCTCAGTCCCCACATGCTCTTTTTATTTTATTTTTTCCGCTTCGTATTTTGTTGGCCCTTTTGGCTGCTTACTTGCCATCACTTCTATAACCTGTCATGCCAAAAGGCTGCATAGTTCAGTGAGAATAACCAAATTTTGGCAGTACTGCTGAGATACCTGCAGATCTTTATCAGCTGGTTTCATGCTGGTGTGGTTATAACTGAAAGATTTGCTGTGGGCTGAAGAAGAGTGCAGGGATATGGGTCAAAGGAAGATCTCATGCCATTTATTTTCAGCCTTGTGCTGTGAGGGTGTGTGATTAGTCCAGTGTGTACCATCAACCCTTTAGATGAGGATTTAGGAAAAAAAAAAAGGTAGATCAAAAATATTTTCACAATATTAAATATTTAAAATATCAAAATATTTTTACAATTTATTTTAACAAGAAAAGGCCAAAAAGTGTGAAGGAGACCCATTCTTTTTTCCAGAATTTGTTACTATAAATATGATGAAAACATGATTATAAAGGAAACTAGTGCAGACTTTTATCTGAGTGACTCAGTCCACATCAGAGAAAGAAACACAGCACCACTTATTCTTCCCCCTTTATCTTAAAGTATTTCACTTCTAGGCCTGAGAAGCTCTGATTAAATGTACTAAACTGAAACTTTCCTTGTTATTTTTTTGAGTTTGGGGGTTTTTAATTATTTTTTTTTGGCTGATATGTATCTGTTTTGTCACTTTCTTATTGAACTGAGAACAATTGAAAAACCGTGAAGGTGAGAAGGAAACATTTTGTGCCAGTACTCATTCTGGGAAATAATTAATTACAGAAAACCAATCAATTTTTTTGGAAGATAATGGAAATATTTTCAGAGATCTGATATAGCATCACATTCTGATTTTGCTGATGTAAAGACCACTATGCTGAGAAGTCCTAGAGCAGCAGCAGCTCTATGTGTACTCTGTTAATTTATGTCAGTCTGGGTATGTCCTGGGATGCCTGTGAACAGTGAGTGTATATTAAAAACCAATGGCAAACCCTCTTTCCAGGGATTATGAATCTGATAAGCACACTCATTGGTATAAAATATGGTGTGTTTTATGCTTACAAAGCACAATATTATTCAGGATCACATTGTGAGGTTTGAGTGCTACCCTTCCAGCCTGTAGGAAGAGATTAAAACATCTGTCCTTAGGTTTTTGTGCTCCTGTTCACCAAAACACTTACTTTATTCATCTGAAATGCTTTCACAGCAATTTGTGTATTATGAGAAACAACCCAGGTGAGCTTGGAGCACTGGGCTGTTCCCAATCCTGTGATGTCACCACTGTTAGAGAGATGTGGTGGGATGAGTCCCATGGTTGGAGTTCTGGGATAAAGGGCAGGAAGGACAGGCAGGGCAGGTGACGTGGAAGAGTTGCACTTTATGGAAGGGAGAGACTGTACAGTTAAAAATCCTGTTGTTTGAGAGCCTCTGGGTGAGGAATAGTGGGATGGAAAACAAAGCAGATGTTGTAGTGGGTGTCTACCATGGGCAGCCTGGGCAGAATGATGGCATCAGTGAGTTGTTCTATAGGCAAACAGGAGACATATCTGGACCATATGGAAGATTTCAACTTCCCAGGCATCAGCTGGGAACACCACACTGATGTGACAAGCAACTCAGGGGCATTCCAGTAGCTTGTTAGGATAATTTTTGTCACAAGTACTCTGTGAGCAGGAAAGATGCCATCCCAGACTTGTTATTTGTGGGCAGAGAAGGACTCATGGGGAATGTGGTGGTAGGTGGCTGCCTTGGCCAGAGTGATTATAGAATGGTTGTGTTTAAAATTGCCACTGCGATGAGGAAAAAAAGGACACCGGAGTTGCTATCCTGGACTTCAGCAGAGCAAACTTTAGGCTATTCAGGATGATATTTAGTTAGTCCCCTGGGAATTTGCTTTTGAGGGCTTAGGAGTGCTGGTCAGTGTTTAAGAACTGCCTTTTAGAGGCACAGGAGCAGGCAGATCCTCTGTGTTGTAAGTCAAGCAAGTGGGGCAGGAGACCAGCTTGGCTGAACAGGGAGCTCCTGATGGAGGTCAAGAGGAAAAACAAATGGTACAATCCCTGGAAACAAGGTCAGGCTTCCTGGGAAGTTCACAGAGCTGTATTTTGCACTACAGGGAGAAGACATGGAAGGCCAAAGCTGAGCTAGAGTTGCTCAGGCAGTGGGACTGGATGGTTCTTGCAGGTCCCTTCCACCTGAACTATATTGTTCCACTATTTTCTGTCTAGGAAGTTATCCTACATCTACATATTCCCCAAGAACATCCATATCTGATTTGGGCAGCTACATTCAGTTCTGCCCCAGTAAAAATGACAGCCTCCATAAATACGGGGCTGCTATTATTAGATGAACGTTCCAGGAAGGATTGTTAAATTGATGGATTACAGGAAACTCCAGAGAAAGTCTGCTTTTAAGTAGGTCCCAAGGAGGAGACAGATCCATGAATCCCAGTGTTTTGCCAGGTTAGCTACAAGGGGGTACCTGTCTCTAACCCTTTTCCCATTACTGTGCACTACCATCAAGTATTTATTTAAACAAAATATAAACTTGTTTCTTGTGAAGCTGACCTTGCACAACCGTATTCATGAATTTGCCCAATATAAATAATTTTATAAGACTTTGGCTGTTAGCTACAGTCTTGGAGGATCTCCTACTGAAGATTTAAGATCTTATAAGCAAATAAATAACACAACCTGGAGCAGCTTGCAGCAAACATTTTAATAGTTGTTCTTCTAGCTGGGGGCTGAAAATCAAACATACCATGAAGGTAAGTGAACTCATTTTAAACTGTAGGATTTGTATATATATTCTTGGCTTCTATTGAAACTAAAATTGAACACCCATGTAAGTTGGAGGCCCCAAGCAGCATAGAAAACTTACAGCCTTTTTTACACTGTCTTTTGACAAAGTGTGGAAATTTTTAAGAGTCTCACATGGAACAAAAAAAATGCAGGTGTGTCTGCTGAGGTGGAGCAAAAGCTCTTCCTGCACTTAAATGTGAAGATGCCCCAATCCCTGGAAGTATCCAAGGCCAGGTTATTTGGGGAATCTGAGCAACCTGGGCTAGTGGAAGGTGTCCCTGCCCATGAGAGGGATGGGACTGGGTGAGCTTTGAGGTCCCTTCCAAGCCAAACCATTCTATGATTCTGTAATTCCTTGTTTCAACTCAGATGCCCAGGAGAAGAATTTTCTTGCCTATTAGGTAGAAATATGTTCACCCGAGATATTTCTGGTATTGAAAGTCATCTAATCTTCGAGATATCAGTGTCTAGGAAAGATGACCCAGAAACTGTGTGAGAATTGAGCTGCAATGCTCTTCATGAAGATAGAAAAGCCTCACTAAAACTAAATGAAACTTGTGTATCAACACTTTCTGAGTTGTCCTTTATGTCCTTAAGCCTTTATGTCCTTTTCTTTGATAAAATAGCAGAGTTCAGGGTAAATTCTTCAGTTCTATTTACTTTCCTGTATTTTCCAAGACCCTTGCTGGTTCTTCCCAGCTCCTGGTTTGCCAGCTGGCATCATTTTTGGCCGAAAATAATGCATTTTATCAGTTGCGTTTCCTGGCTGATCTAATCTGAAATTGGGAAGGAGATCCCCTTTTCAATACCTTATTTAAAGCAGTGAATGTTTTAAAGGCAAAAATTCTCTTGCATTCTCAAAAGTGTGTCAATATTTGGGTTACCTGGGAAGGGGAGACTTTCTGAAAGCTGTGCTCAGAATGTCCAAACTTGAGTGTTCATAGCAAGTAACTGCATTTACTTTTGGCTGCAACTTACTGAGTTTCCTGGATTTGCTTGGACCAGGATTTGTCCGGTGATGACACAAAATACTCAGTGAGGCCCAAAATAAGGTTTTGGGAGCTGAGGGGGGAAGTCTGCTGCCCTCAGGGGACTCTCATGAAGTAGTTCATGGAGGGTAGAGGGAAAGACAATGTTTACTGTAAAGGGATTTTCCTTATTTATTGGTGATCCTGATGGGAATAGGCACTGTGGAATGGGCAGTAAGTAATGCACAGGTAAAGGGTGTGTGAATTCCTCTTCTCCACTGACTGTTTGAAGCTAATTGCCTGGAGAATGGAAGAGACATGGCCAGGGGCAGCACCATCTGCCCTTGAAATTCAAAAGAGGAAAGGAGATCCTCAAAGAGATGTTTTGCCCAGATAACAGGATGAATAACATGGAAAACAGCATTAGCTCC